AAAGGGAAAAGGGAAAAGGGAAAAGGGAAAAAGATCAGACATTATGTGAATAGTTGTGAAATCTCAACTATTTTCTACACATCAGAAAATAAAATCTAATTTTGCTGCTGCCTGCTGTTCTTACATTCACTTACCCATATCCCTCAAATCCCTTGCAAATATTTTTTTTATGGCACCCTACAAACAGATCACACAATAAGATCTCTGCCCCCAGTAGAAAAAACAAATCCATTTTGCATCTTACTTTTACTTGGCTTTGGATCCTGAAGCAAAATATTTCATTCCACACTGGATCTTTGCAGTTCTTGATGGTTCTGGTCCGGACGGTCTCAGAGGAAGCAGTGGGCAAGGACAGGCTTACATAGCAATCAGCTTGACTAACTGTAGGTAAAAAGATACATTTTAACTAACAAACTACAACAACAACAACAACAAACTTAGAACATAAGCTTATAGCACTCTATAGACAGTAAACTGCAAAAAGGAGATACTGTTTTAATACTTTTCTTGTAGGTTTTTACTCAACAGCACTCACTACTATTTATCCTGTCTAGGAGGCTGAAACTGTGATCATTATTGGAAATTGAAAGAAGCTACTGAAGTAAAGGGAATTGGTGGGGGGGAAAAGAATGGTTTTACATATCAAAACCTATTATTGATACATCCCCAGTCTGTGGGAAATCAAGAGATCTGTTGTGGTGAAGATTTACATTTACCTTTTTTAAAGGTACTTAACTAGTTAACTCTTCAAGCACTTTAGATAAGGAGCAATCTTTGTCCACTGTGAAGAAACTTCTAATTTCTTAGTGTACCATTACCTTAAACGCGGTTTGAACACAAGGTTGTCTAATTAGTTAAAATACAGCATTAAAACTTCATAATACATTCAGGTTGCACTGGGGTGGACTCCCAGGAACTGCCTCCTCCCCAGATGGAGGTAAATAGCCTTGCAGCAGGGGAGCACAGCTTTGCAAGGTATTGACCAACTGAGTCTTGGTGATTGCTGCAGCTTTCAGGTGAGAGGCAAGCTGGGTACTCATAGGTCTGTGCAGTCAACTTTCCATCTGTGTGTTAATTTGATGTATTTAAATTGTTTCTTTGGTAGGATTCTCACTGATATTTCTAAGATGATTTTTTGTTGTTGTTTTGTTTATTTTGTTGTTGTTGCTGTTGTTTTCCAAGGAGCAGTGTTGTGCATCTCTTCCTAAGTGCAGGAAAGAGCTGATATGTCGTGAACCTGTCTTAATAAGATGAGATCCTGAAAATACAGTGAAAAATAAGGCAGCAATCACTCTCTCTGCACTGTTTTTCACCCTTTCTAGTCCTCCCATTAGGAGCAAATCTGCTATTCTATGATTCTATACATTGCTCTGCATTCACTTCTACACAACACTTTATTTTTTGTCTGCTGAACAACTACAGCTGTTTCTAATGTCTCCAGCCCGTAGAACAAATTTGTGATTACGGTAACAGGTTAGATGTGATGTACTAAGAGGCAATTTGGGACTGTAGGATACATGCAGGGAGGCAGCATGATGACCAAGTGGATAGGCTGCTGGAAAACGGCTCATGACGTTTTGGGTCCAGTCCCAGCTCTGCTCCAGGCTGCTAGGTCACTGTGGGCAATTGCCTACATTTAAATGTATCTTTTCTATCTGTATTTTCACATCAATAAAACAGTGATAACAATCATTTCCTCACTTGAAACCTGTTTTGATATTCCACAATTAAAAGTAATATACAAAACAAAAAATAACTACCAGTAATAGTATTACCAGCCCACAAAAAAAGAGCAATTATCAGCAATTGTTTTACCTTCTTAATTAGTCCCTTGTTTCTCACTCCACACTTTCTTTATACTTGTGTTACTTATGTGGCAATGAATAGGTATTGCTTAAAGCAATTTATGGACTCACATTATGTAGGATTTCTTTCAAGTCTTCTGATAAAATCTGAATATTAAACATCTTCCCCATTGCTGTCCATAGCAGGAAATGACAACTTGAACATTCCAAATGGAAACCTCTATACTGATTATTAGTATTAGGAAAAATTAGATTACTATAAATTTAGATGCAGAATATGCATGGTGTACCTTTATACAACAATTTATTGATTAAGAAGGTCACAAAAGAGTTTATTTAGCTTCCTCCACTGCAATATTTTCAATAATTCTTCCACTGAGTTTTGATAAGTAAAAATGAGAATACTAATTTTGCAAAGGTGCATCCCCAGGCAGTGTCAAATACATAGGTATGTGCATTTCTGAGTATTTATTCACTTATGGTCTGGAATATCCCTTTGTCACAAATACTAGCTAAGAATCCTCTCTAAGAAGATGGACATTTGATATTTTCAGAGTATCAGAGAGGCCACTTCTAAACTCATGGTTTGAACCTAGGCAGAGCTGTGGTAAGAACTTTCTTCCATCTGTCATTGTCTTTGAATACAGCTGAACTGTAGCAAACTTGAAAAGTTACTCCAGGCTTTAGCAAGACTGTTTGCTATTAATAAGAGAAAAACAAACTCCCACAGCTTGATCATCCACACTAATACCAGCCCAGTCAGTAATCACCGAGTCTCAACATAGCCCAAGACAAGAATGCAGATAAAGGCATTTGAATCTGAAACAGGCAGATCACTGCATGAAGAAACACAAATTATGCCACAAAACTACATTGTTGCAAGATTTATCTGATAACTTAAACACACAACACAGATTTACATAGCTTTTGGACCAGATCCCAAATACACAATGCTACTTTAATTACAGGAGACTAAGACACTGCTACTCATGCACAGGAACAAATGGATGCTCAGTGTCTTCCATGCTCCAGCTCTCTCCCGCTTTCTTCCACCTTCTACCAAAAAAGACTTCAACTGTCACCAACTATTGAATTTAAATATGTCCAGATTGAAGAGGATTGGTTTAAACAGCCTAGCATATGAGAAAGAACTGAAAGAACTGAGTTTGCTAATTCAACAGCAAAGACCAGCAAAGAATATGGTAACAGCCAGAGCTGGAATGTCCAAATGATTATTATAACGAGGACAATGATTAGAGTCTCAGTATGGCAGGATGGAAATAAAGACAAATGTTAGAAAAACTGCTCCAGCTCTAAAAGAGTTAGCTCTAGTGAGAGAGATTTTTATAATTTAACTCATTTCAGAGGGTACCCCTACCTAGATATGTACCACTGACAGATAAAGTAAATTTGATCCTGCTTCAGGAGAAGAGGACCCTTCCAGGTGAAGCTACAAACATATCAAATGGAATCTGGACTTGCTGCCATGTGATACCCGTGTTTACGCTGGAAGGCAATAAACAGAATAATCATGGCACGTCAATTATCTTACCAACTAACTGGTCTCTCTACCAGCCCTGTCACAGGAGGAAGCAACAGAGAAATCCTTGTACTGTAGCCAGCCAAGTTACACATTCTAATGTAGTGTATGGGCGCTGACGGGCCTCATTATCTCCAAAGAGATTGCAAACCTCCTTCTTTAACATGTACAGAGGAAGACTGTAAGTTCCTTGGGAAAGTGGCCACTTTTTCCTTACACACAGCATCCACGTAACATGAGCTAGATCCATAGCTAGAGTATCTGTGTACGAGCTCAACATAATTGTCAAAAGGAAACAATACAAATGCAAAACCATACAGCAAAACCATGCAGAGATTCCCACAAACAGCTGTGCTGAAACTTATCCATTCCACTCCAGCTCCTCTCGAAGAGAGAAATCACATTACCTAAATGGTAAATACAGTTGGTTGACATGAGGTGTTTACCCTTGTCTGGGTTTGGTGCAAACCAGAAGTGGAAAACATTTGCAAATATGATGAGCAAGGTTAAAAATATCCTAAAGTAACACTTGGAGGAAGTAGCACTGAAAATCCACAGTTGACTGTAGATTCAATACACGTAAGTAAAAATAAAAAGATATAGATTTCTTTGATTTTTTTAAGATGGGGATGGAAGAGTTGTGCCTGAAGAAACATCATGGAAGTAATAAGGCATATAATCATAATAAAATAAAAAAGTGGGGTGCAATAAGTAAACTCACTCCCTCAAATGATGGCTCACAGCAGCTAGTATGAAGGTAGAGACGTCAGTGCTGATGAGTTAATTTGGTGAGCAAAACTCTTTGACACCCTGGGACAATTCACTGGAAGCAAGGGTGTGTTTTACACGACAACATAAATGGGTCTTAGTGTGCCTGAAACTTCAGCTTGTAAGTCTCGGTCACCATTTTATGAACTGAATTTTGAACCCACAGGGTATAAACACAGAGATTATAATTTAATTTGTTAATTCAGTCTGGGCTCAAAGTTTACATCACAGCATTGGTTCATCCTGCCATAAATACTACAAGTATATGTATTGCAAACACATGCTTTGCTTTTGTCAGTCATGTCTTCACATTTTATATGTCTGTTCTACAAAAATGTCACCATCAGCTTCTTTCACATCAAAGTGAACTGCATATAGACACAGCTTCCAGGCTGTCTTTTATCGCAAGACTACAACTAAACCTATGTTCACAATGAAATCAAATGAGCTCACACTGTTGACTGGAATCCTCTGGGACTCTCAACTAATCCAGGTGCCTACAGCAACTTTCCTGTGAAAAAGAACGAATGAAACCATTAACAATAAATATAATATGATTAAAAAAAAAAAAATTACACTCGACACCCCTCTAGTTTTCATTCTTGAACCTGAAAGGAATTCTTGAAAGATAGTAAACATTGGTATTGGATGAATGGGCACAGTTGAATACTTTGCTAGGTAGACATTCCAAAAGATTGCCAATTTAGCAATTGACAAGATAGTAGAAAATGATACAGTATCAGCGCTAAAATTTGAGATTGATGCTTTCTTTTAACCTTCACTGGCTACTACTGCAGCACTACTTATAGTCTCTGCAAAGAATACAACAAGACAAAATACCCAGGAGAGAAGCCACAGTCTCATGAACACACACATACCTTTTCAGCTATGCAGACTATCATAGCCATGTTAAATCTAGCCTCTTTTCTTTACACTGGCCTCCTACATAACAGTAAATCACATCCATGATACTGGTTCTTATCTACAAGGTAATCAATGACTACAACTCAGTAGAAATGTTGCCTGAAGCTTCTCTCTGGAGACCACCACTGATAAAAGTCCTCAAGCTCTGTGTACCTTGCCTGTGGGCAAGGCTTTCCCTGGCACTGCTCTGAGTCTTGAGAATCAACTTGGACAGGGACTAACACATACCACAAGCCTTATCACGTTGCTCCTTTAGCATAAGGCTCACCTCAGCACCACACTTCATCTCATCTAAATGCCTTTGAAGGAGCACGCACGCATAAAACCAAATGTTCTCCGCTCAG